AAATAAAAGTTCTTCTGATTACAATTCATTTTGATGGGGTTGATGCACTAGCCTTAGTAATAGCAACATAGAAACCTATCTTCAGACAGAAGATAAACAATGGTGAGCAATTGTTTATAAAATTTAGATTACCTACATTATCCTCCCCCTTCTGAAGCTGACATCCACAGGGAGTGTTGAATATATATTACATATAATTCAATAAAGAGACACAGTAGACCTGGCCAGTGATCTACCTGAAATGACAGTGGGCCCTAGAACATGCAGTAGAATCTTTGCCATAAGCAATAAACCAACAGTTTGCTTTTAATATGATTTGTAGGCTTAAATTTAACTGCAAGTCTCTTGCACCTGTGGTCTCTTGAATCAATGGGTTATATAGAAATGTTGGTTTACTGTAGTTAGGACTAGCAGCTTGATTTAGGCCTTGGTATCTACCACAGCTTTGCTTGTTTGGAATTCCAAGCATCAGAGTTCTTCAAAAGTGGAATATGCTGCCTTGGAGTGTGACAAAGTCTCCTTCTTTGGAGGTTTTAAAATGGAGGTCAGATGGCTGTGTTGGAGGTGCTTTGATTGGTGTTCCTGTGTGGCAGGGAGTTGGATTCAATAGCACCTGTGGTCTCTTCCAACTCTGTGAGTCTAGGATTCTATGATCAAGTTTTCTCTTCCTCAGCCTCCCCAAGATGGAGCTCTGGATTACTGAAATCTTTTAAAGTAGCTGGGTATATTTTTTAAATGCATATCAATAGGTACTCCTGGGGGAGTGAAGTCCTATTCCATCCATTAAAAACAAAAAGAGGAAATTCTTTAATGTGATCATCAACAAAGAGGGCATCTTTCAATTTACTTGTGTTTCCTGAGGCCATATTTTTCATCAGAATCTATGTGGGGGAAAAACCATGGTTGTGGCTACATCAGCTGTATTTATAGCCTTCAGTTTGTTGCTGCTGTTGTAACACACTAATCTATCCATTATTAAGAACTCAAGGAAGTTTGCAGACCTTCCAAAAGACACTGAATGAGCAAGAGAAAATTGTTCATTGCATATGTATTTTGTCTAAATAAGAATTAATATGGCAACATGTTCATAACCTCTCTCTATCTCTTACTTTGGAGCTGGCAACCATTTGAAAACACCTCTATGGTAGCTGCTGCATGTTGTAAGATTTCAGGTTTCCTCCAAGTGTTGTTCTCCACCACATAATTGTCTGTGGCTGCATTTGCACAACACAAATAATCCAGTTTTACACCACTTTAACTGCCAGGGCTCAGTGCTGTGGAAATTTGGGAACTGTAGTTTGCTGTGGTACCAGAGCTCTCTGACAGTTCTGTAGTTTCACAGATCTACTGTTCCCAGAATTCCATAGCATTGACCTGTCAACCAGGATTATTTCTGCACTGTGGATATAGCTTGTATCTTCCCACATGTTGCCCTCAGAAATTGCTAATGACAAAAACAAATTATGGGCTTCATCTGAATGAGCCAACTACCAGTATAGGCAATTTAAATGCCCCTTCTGCTGTGGCCATATCTTAAGAGGAACAATTATTTTGCTTTGTTGGGTTGCCTGGGTATTGAATTTGGCTATAAATCTTTATTTCAAGAGATAGCACAGTATATATGGTGTTGTGTGATTATTTGCTGCTGTTATCTTGTTTGTCTTAATTACTTTTTTCAAAAATGTTTATATTGCTTTTAGTATTTTAAAATGTAATAGACAAATAAGCAAATAGTTGCTCATGCATACTATGTAACCAAGGACCAGGGGAATTTTTAATTAGCTCAATTAATTTGGC